CAACTCTCTGTGGAGAGCTTAGAATTAGGGAAGCATTCATCAGTGGGCTCTACACAACAGGATTACCAGAGCCAAAGGATGAACATTTAAATCACGAAAACGTTTAAAAACAAAATAATTTGATGCAAATAAATTAAACTGGAAATGTTCAAAGAATACTTAAATAAGTGGGTTTTTTTTTTTGTTTTTTTTTTTTAAAGATTTTATTTTTCAGTAATCTCTGCCCAACACGGGGCTTCAACTCACAACCCCCGAGATCAAAGGCTACATGCTCGGGGTGCCTGGGTAGCTCAGTCGCTTAAGCCATCCAACTCTTGATTTCAACTCAGGTCATGATCTCATCGTTTTTGAGTTCGAGCCCCATGTCAGGCTCTGTGCTGACAGTGCAGAGCCTGCTTGGGATTCTCTCTCTCCCTTTACCCCTCCCCCACTCACACACACAGGTGCTCTCTCTCTCTCATAAATAAATGAACTGAAAAACACATATATAAAAAAACCTTTTTTTTTATTAGCATTTTTTTGTTAACGTTTATTTCTTTTTGAGATACAGAGAGACAGACCACAGGCAGGGGAGGAAGGGAGAGAGAGGGAGACACAGAATCTGAAACAGGCTCTAGGCTCCGAGCTGTCAGCACAGAGCCCAAAGCGGCGCTTGAACCCACAAACCTTGAGATCATGACCTGAGCTGCAGTCGGACGCCTAACCAACTGAGCCACCCAGGCGCCCCTATAAAAAAATCTTACATAGGGGAGCCTGGATGGCTTAGTCGGTTAGGCGTCTGACTCTTGATTCCAGCTCAGGTCATGACCTCATGGCTTGTGAGACCGAGCCCCATGCTCTGTGCTGACAGCAGGGAGCCTGCTTGGAATTCTCTCTCTCCCTCTCTCTGCTCCTCCCCTGCTTGCATTCTCTCTTTCTCAAAATAAATAAACATTAAAATAATCAAAAATGAAAATAAAACCTTATTAAAAAAAGAAAAAAAGTCACATGCTCTACCAACGGAGCCAGCCAGGTGTCCCAGTGTGTTTGTCCTCTCTCTCCCTCTGCCCCCGCCCCCCCTTGGCACTGTCTCCCTGAAGAAAAATAAATAAATAAATTAACTCAGGAATTTACGGGAGAGGGGAAGAAGTGAGAGGGAAATAAGCAAGGAAGGAAAAAGGGGGCAGGGGGAGGGGACAGGGAAGCTCTCGTTCACAGAAATGAAAGAGAAGGGCAGCATTTGCAACTCTCCTGCAATAATTTAGGCAAGGAGATTCAACAGGTACTAAAACAAAAATAAGGGTTCAAGTTATCAGGAACAGGATATTCACAGGACGTCACAGTGTTAGCTGCAAAGGGAAAACTGTGTCTTACATCGATCTTGGCTAAGTGACCAAACTCCACCTACCACCAGTGGGACATCGATCACACGGGCTCTGGAGGAGATGCAGGAGACACACACAGCATCTGACAGTGAGCATTCGAGCCAAAAATATGCACCTGATCTAATCCAGCCTCAGACTCTGCTTCCAGTTTGCAGATAACGCAGAGAAGGAAACAGTGAGACACACGCGGAATGTTAGGCGTTCGCGAGACAACCAGCCTGGACTCTTCAAGAAGTCAGTCGCAGGAGAAAGGAAGAAAACGAGGTGAGGAATGAGGAATGAACGGGTCTTAGGAAGAGAAAAGGCTCTGCCGTTGGAGATAGCAACCAAACGCAGTGCGAGGATCCTGGCTGGATCACGACGGGCGGCAAGCGGCTATCAAAGCCGGGCTGGTGGCAAGTGGGAAACGGGGCCGCTGACCGGGCATCAGACAGCAGACGTTTACTTGTCACGCGTGGCGATGTGACTGTGGCAACGCATGGAAACATCCTATTCTTACACGACGCCTGATTAAGCATTCGGGTCGTTAGGTCTGCAATAGTCTCTCAAAAAGTTCAGCAGAAACCTAAAATCTCTACCTACAGATAAAACAAATATGGTAAACGCTAGCTGTTGAATCTAATGGACGGTGTATGGGGTATTCGATGTATACTTCTGACCGTTTTGCATATTTGAAAATCCTCTTAATCCAAAGTTGTAAAAACAGTTAGCATCTTATTAATGACGTGCTATTTACACTCACCTCATTATTTTGCACTTCTTATTTATTTTGAGGGAGAGAGCGTGAGCGAGGGAAGGGCAGAGAGAGAAGGAGAGACAGAGTCCCAAGCAGGCTCTGTGCTGTCAGCGCAGAGGCCAAGTGGGGCTCGAACCCCTGAACTGCAAGATCATGACCTGAGTCGAAATCAAGAGTCGGACGCTCAACCGACTGAGCCACCCCGCCAGCACCACTGCATCTGTGTCTATAAGCTTCTCTGTCAGACAGATGTGAACATCCACTGGGGTCTGGAGCACCCCGCGGCATGGACTCCTCACCAGACGGGCAGACTGGGGTCTGGCTCTACATGCACAGAGCTTGCGACGGAGAGAGAGGGCCAGATGGTCAACGGGAAATCCTGCAATTCCCATGAAGGTGTGAGGACTCGGAAGGGGCGGGGGGTGTCAGGGAGCTCGGAGCAGGGACAGCCGACCCAATCTGAGCCCTGTGGGGGAACAGCAGGGGGGGAGAAAAGCTGCTGGAAGGAAGTGACATTAACCTGAAGCATTAGAGAAAAGAGCCTGCTTGTGAGGGACAACCACCTGCACAAAGACTTGTGCGAAGGATGGTCTCAAAGAACAAGGTCTGGCTGGCTGGAGTGCGCTGGGGGCGGGAGCAGAGAGGAGGCTGTGGGACGGGGTCCAGGTCACCGCCATGCAGGGGAGTCTGGTGGATGCCAGTGAGAGACGGCATGATACAGGCAAGGAGCAGGTGTGGCTGGAGTGTGGGGGGCAGGAATGGAAATCAGGGGATAGAAACAGGACAGACGTGCAGGAGACACAGCTGGTGTCCTCCGCGGGCCGGACAGATGATGAGGGGAAGGACAGGGAAGAGATGGTGGCCCCAGAGCCCCTGAGCCCCTCGGAACGCACAGGCCAGGATGCTCTCTGGTCCCGCGGCCCGGCACCTGGGAAACAGCGACCGAGGGCCGACAGGGCCCCGGGGCAGACGGACAGCGCTCGTAGGGGAATCCTGGCCGTCCACCTCTAAGAGCCTCTAAAAGTCTCAGAATTTCAAACTAAGAAAGGCAACTGCGAACCTTGCTCACATTCACTCAGCTCAATCTCAGTTTTAGAATGCAGAATCGCAACCAGATAGGAAGTTGTTTTGTTTTGTTTTTTAAGTCGTTACTACACCACAACTCTGATAAACCTGACATTACAGCGCATGTTTGCTTAGATCTGTTTGAGATGAATTCCCCAATCTTCAATACAGACACCAAATTTGGAACACCTACAACTGCATACCCAGTTTTACCTACTCTGAGAAGCTCATTTTAAAGTTAGTATGTTTCTAGAAACTCAAACATTAAATGCTAGATGTCTTAATATCGACCGTACGTAAAGGGCAGCAAAGGCACACACACGGTGGAGCCCCGGACACTGGCCTGTGATGCTGGGGAAGGGACGGTGCCCTTCACTCTTGGGATATGTGACATGCAATGCTCACCAGGTGACTAGTGGGGGTGCAAGAGTCCACCAAATCATCCACTAATTTCTAAATCATTTGTTGGTTTTTAGACACTGTTGGTACGATTTTTTTTTTTTTTAATATGGCACAGCTTCAAAAGTTAAATGAAATCCCCATCGGCCCCTTCATCTAACAGGGGACACACAGACCCTTCTCCTACAACTGTCCCAGCATACTGATGGAGGTTAAGCTTCCTGCACAGCCTCAATGAACAGAATCTCTCTCAATTCTGTATACAACCCTCTCTCAGCTTCTGAGGAGTTAACATGAATAGGAAACTTTCTAGTCTGAGATTTTTATACATCCGAAATTTCTATTATTACATTTACCAACACAATACTGAGTTAGGTCAAACCTGATGCTTTAGGTCAGACACAAACAGGTGTGGCAATGACAGTTAAGGGCATGGCTCTCGGCCAACGTGTCAGGTTCAAATTCACACTTTGTTAGATTAAACTTGGAATGAGCCCACACGCGTCAGTTTCTTCATGTACAACACGAGTATGATGAGGACAGTATTCCTATTCTCAAGTGGAGTTAATATACATCAGAACACTGCCTGTCACAGACCAGCACTACATTAGCATTTGTGGTTATTATTTTTTTTAGTAATCTCTACGCCCAACATGGGGCTTGAACTCACAACCCTGAGATCAAGAGTTGCAGGCTCTTCAGGTTGAGCCGGCCGGGCGCCCCACGTTTGTGTTTGTTTTTATTAATAAAACAAAAGCTGTGAATGCCTTGACAGGCAGCCATACAGTAAGTTCATCCCGCTAAATGGAGGAACAAGGAAAAAGGAGACCCACACTGCAGGCATCTGCCTCTAACCTGCCTCTCCAGACTCCACCCACTCCCCCCTCACGAGTGCCCTGGACGAGCACCTATCAGGGCTGGCAGTGGCCCCAGACACCACCAAGCACCTGTTGACTACCAGGGGCTCTCAGAGCCAGTGCCGTGGGCTGCAGTTCCCACAGTGGCCACTTGAGGGCATCCCCGGGGAAGCAGAGCAGGCCGCCCGCCTCAGGATGCCAGAGGCTGCTGGGGTGATCCTTCCAACACTGTCCACTCGGTGCCCTCCAGTTCAGGCAGACCATATGGGCAGGGCACTGGGCAGCAAGACTTTTGGGAATTTGGCAAAGGCAATGACAGAGGTCGGCAGAGGTCGGCAACAGCACTGGAACGGGGTCCTGGGTGTGGCGGTGATGGAGGGAAGAATCTAAGGGCAGCGACTAACCCAAGGCATGGCTGCAGCACGGCATACCCACCCATGTTTAGCAGAATACTGGCCCTGATGAGGTTAGCCATCTCTAAATAAACTGATGACTGTGCCCACAATATTGGAGCGCTCAAATGTGTGCTTAAAATGTGCCTGTGTGTCACTACAGGTACAGACAGGACTAGTTACTCACCTTGGGCTGCATATCTACAAGAACCATCCTCCACCAGAACATTATAGAAAGGCTGATGATGGCCATGAGGCAGGCTGTGGACGTTCATGTTTCGGATCCATTCGTGTCCCATCATGCAGGTAGGGTCCCAGCCATAGATCACACAGTTATAGCCATACCTAATTAACATAAGAGCAAGGGCAAATCAATTCCCTGGACCCTGTCACAGCAACTATGAAATATATAAACGATGGCTTGGCTTCTCTTAAGTTCATGTTCTTACAAATTTACCTGCTTTTATCCCTGTTAATAAGCATTTTTCAGGACACTCTTGGCTCCCTTTACAAACCCCTCTTATTATCAAGATAGCACTTCAGGTGGAAAAAAACAGACTTCAACGGAGACTCACAGGACAACTGGTTATCCAAATGGAAAAAGGGATCAGGACCCAGGCCTGAGAACAGCGCACAGTGTCCTAGGGGGACAAAGGCCTGGATAGAAAACACAGAATTTGTAGGCTAGCTTCATGACACAGGACATAAAAAGAGTTCTTAAACCAGATATGAAAAATACAGCCATAAGGGAAAAGAGTACTCAATTTAATAGTATTAAAAGGACCCAGATTGAAGCAGACTATTAAAAAACTACAGGACAACTGGGGAAACAGGAACCCTGACTAGACCTAAGTGAGGAGGTGAAGGAGTTGTTTTTTTCTTAGATACAAGAGGATGGTAAATGTACTTTTAAAGGAGACAGCAAGGCCTTACCTTTTAGGTACACACACTGAAACAGCTACAGGTGAGCCACAGATGGAATGACATCTGGTACCAGCTTCCAGGGAGGGGCGGGGTTAGGGGGATGAAAAGAGTGAAGGCAGACCCTCACGACAACTGTTGAAGCTGGTTATGGGAGCACCGTCTGGTTCACTATCCTCGTCTCTACTCATATATGCTTGAAATTTCCATATTAAAGTTGAAGAAAAAAAAGAATGCACTAAAAGGATAAAAAATACTAGCCCCAAACTGGGAAAAGATATTGGCAACGTATATGCACACAGACACAAGTAACAGGATAAAGGACTGAAAACCCCTAAGAAAGATGAATAACTCAAATGAAAAACAGGAAGACTTGAAGATGCGCTTAATAAAAGGAAACTTGAATGAGCTTCTTTTCCAGGTTCACGAGCCCATCCGCGTAGTCAACCGGGGAAATGCAAACGAAAACCACAATGAAATACCAGTCGCCATTTACTCTGTAAGTGCATTTTTAAAAGTCTGGCAATAACACGTAGGGGAGAACAGGACCCTCCGCTCCCAGCCTGCCGGTGGCACGTAAATCGTAACCGGCACTGTCGCTGTGGACGCGGTTGAGTTTTGCCTAGTCAATCGACCATGAGCTTGCCCTACAGACGGGCAAGCCCTACCTGCAACTCGGATTCACAGGGATGGAGATAAACGAAGCGTCAGGACAACGAGGAAATGAGCGGAAACCCCCCCAGCTTACAGCTCTCCCATTAGAAGACCCTGAGCGAGGACAGCGAGACTCTTCTTACAAAACGAAAAGGGTAGATGCGGTTCAGACCAGCTCGGCCTCGGGCGACTCCCGCGGTGGCCAGTCTGTGGCGGCGGCTCCTGAGACGCGTGCTGGCAGGCACGTGTGTCCTCTGCAGCCGCGTGGGGATGGCCGCCACGGGCACTCACCTCTTATGCTTCATAATGAGCCCAATGGAGTAGCAGACGTCTCTGTGCTTCTCGTGGGAGCGCAGCTTCACCTCCACACCCACCTCCTCCTTCTTGCGCTCGATGTGCTCTAACGTGTGCTGCACCAGATAGCCCACCGCCCCGTGCTGCCCGGGGTCTAGGGTTTGAATGTGCTGGAGGATGTCAAGCACCTTCAAGACAAGACAGAAAGACTAGGAGATAATATTTTCATTTAGGCCTTTTCTTTTTTGCGGCACAGGATTTAGAGCTACCTAACCTGGCACAAGACGGCAAGCTGGGGGCCGTGCTGATGCCCCCCACGTCTGGGAGCTGGTGGTCTCCCCTCTAACGCCGGGCACTGGTCCCACAGCAGATTCAACCAGCGGGAACGTGGGAATTATTTAGAAACACGGTGGGCCAGAACAAGCGAGGGGTGAGGAGGCAAGAGCCTGCCACCCACGGACATGTCTGGATTGGGGAACTCCAACAGAAGGTGGTAACACTCTTGCTGGTCAGTGTGGGGATTCCATTCTTTATACACAGAAAGGAGAGGGTTTTAATACATCGCTGACCAACTGGGAAGAAAAGTAACTGCTCAGCTGCTTCAATCCAGATCAAGGGGACGTGTGACAGAGCTGCCTCGACTACCCAGGGGGAAGGGGCTACACAGAAGCCACGGAGTGATGCCCGTGAGCTTAGCTGATGAAGCCGTGGGTCTCAAGGTTCTGAACACGTACCGATCATTTTCAGCTATTTTAACTCGCAGTGCAATTCCGCACGCACTCAAGTGGACAAGGAGAAACCACATCTATGTGGAATTTAAATGACTAAGCTGCTCGTGGCAGAGCTGACTCCAAGGTTATGTTTTCCTACCGTACACAGTGCTGCTAAGGAAACCTGCAAATTCAAATAAAGTTTTACACACACACACGCGCGCACACACACAAAATCACTTAGCACCTATGATGCCATTTAGCAGAGGGTCTCTGACATGTTCTTCTTTTGGAAACAGGATCTTTTCCTATTTACTGAGCCCTAAGACAGAGTAGGTAAGCAGACAGAGTGACCTATATTCTAGTCCCAGATCCAGCAAATGGTTTTTACCTTTAAGTTAGTTTATTCACGTTATCAGATGATGACTAGTAACTGTCCTATTTCCTGATGTATTTTGACCCACCAAAAGTGCTGTGAAAATTAGCTTTTTGCAGGGCACCTGGGTGGCTCAGGCGGTTAAGCACCCGACTCTTGACTTTGGCTCAGGTCAGGATCTCACAGTTCATGAGATCGAGCCCTGAGTCTGGCTCCGCGCTGAGTGTGGAGACTGCTTGGGATTCTCTCTCCCCACTCCCCTGCTCCTCCCATGCAAACACGTGCACTCTCTCCCTCAAATACACAAACATAAAGAAAACACCAAAACCTAGTTTTTTGCAGTGTAAGATGTTATTATGAAACCCACTCCTAACCTCCAGATTGGTATTTGCAGGATCTCAGTATTTTGTGAATGCTTCTTCTCCACTGATCACTGATTCGTGCCAAGCCCATCACATTTATTTCATTTCATCCTCCCAATGTGAAGTATAGTCAATGCTGATTTCCAAAGAGGAATCAGGCATCATCAAGTTAAGGAACTTGCTGGAGGTCCCAGAGTATGAAAGTGTGGAGGGAGAATGTGGACCGGGGGGGGCTGACTCCAAACCGAAGGTCGCAACCACCTTCTTACCAGAGCAAGAGCAGGAGCATTTTAATTCATTGTTAGGAAAACTTTCAAACCCATAAAAACTGGGGTGCCTGGATGGCTCAGTCGGTTAAGCATCTGACTCTTGATTTCTGCTCAGGCCATGATCTCACGGTTCACAAGCTCAAACTCCATGCTAGGCTCTGGGCTGATAGTGAGTGCCGAGTGTTGCTTGCGATTCTCTCTCTCCCTCACTCCTGCCCCTCCTGTGCGAGTGCCCTTTCTCTCTCAAAATAATTAAAAAAAAAAAAAAAAAAAAAAATCAGTAAGGTTGCTTAAAACACACACACACACACACACACACACACACAAATGGACAGAATGGTATAACCCTAAGCACCTCAAACTCAGCTTCAACCAGTATCAACTGAGAGCCAATTTCCATCCACCACCCACCTTTGCTTTAATTTGTACTGTGCTTTACTTTGGGGGACACTAATCATATTCATCCTCTGAAGCTAAAAGCATCGGATCTGAACGGTGAGTTCTATTTCCGGCGCTTGCGTGTGGCTTTCCTCCTGTTCCCATATGCAGCTCCAACTACAGCCGACCCTTGAACAACACGGGTTTGAACTGCATGGGTCCACCTATATGAGGATTTTTTCCAGTACGGGACCGTAATTGTATTTTCTCTTTCTTGTAATTTTCTCAGTAACATTTGCTTTCCTCTAGCTTACTTTATTATGAGAATATAGTATGTTACACATAAAACATGCACAATATGTTAACTAGCTAGTTGTTATCCGAGAGGCTTCTAATCAACAGCAGGCCATCAGTTAAGTTTTGAGTCAAAAGTTATACATGGAGTTTTGACTGTGTCAGGGGTCAGCACCCCTACACCTTCCCCCCCCAACCCCGCTCCGTCTGTGCAAGGGTTGACTATAGTTACTTTTTAAAAAATGTTTACTTATTTTGAGAGAGAGAGAGAGAGAGAGAGGGAGCATGAACAGGGGAGGGTCACAAGAGAGAGGGAGACATGGAATCTGAAACAGGCTCTAGGCTCTGAGCTGTCAGCACAGAGCCCGACACGGGGCTCAAACCCACGAACCATGAGATCATGACCTGAGCCGAAGTTGGACGCTTAACCAACTGAGCCACCCAGGCGCCCCAATTATAGTTACTTCTGACCACACTTCTGCTACATTCTACAGATACAGCTTCCCTCCCTAACTAGCAGCCCCTCCCCTGCAGATAAGTGCAACAGACCTATCTTGGGAGTCTTGTAAGCACAGGGGAAGGCTTAAACTCCCTTGTAGCATCAGGAAGAGACAAGGTTCAGGGGTAATTACCACTCCCTGTCCCCAGATGTGCAGATGACAGGGTGAAGGGAGAGGGCAGAAACAGAAAAGATACCATGACAGGGGCCTGGTGTGCTCCTGAAGGACAGTACTGATGACAGCGGCGGGGGTGGGGGGCGTTATGATGTCTCCAAACACATGTCTAGGCTGACAATCCCAAGAGCCCACAATTTTGGGGGTAGGGATCTTGGAACACAGGGGTCTGTCACTCATGATTGGCAACCTTTAGCGTAAGGAGCCAGAGAGTAACTGCGGCCTTGTGGCCCACATGGTGTCGGACCCAACTACTCTCCTCTGCCCCCTGTGGCTGGAGAGTAGCCAGCGATAAAAAAGCAAGCAGATGAGCCTCTTTCGAAATGTGCCTTTGATAAAACATATCCACAAATCCAGGCAGCAGAGTGTGCTGACCCTGTTCTGTCCCGGCTACCGGTTTCCCCTGTGGCTCTCTGTGAAGTGCCTGGCTCCATGCTGCAGACCTCCACTTGGCTGGGGGCTCTTCTGCTTTTGGGGCTTCAGCCACCAGACGCTGATACGGGGAGCCCCTGCCAGATGTCCTCAGACAGCTGCACTCAATGGCCCCGGTCGTATCCAATCCAACAAACCCCAAACTGAACACTTTCTCCTGCCCCTGAAACAAGTCTGTTCTCCAAACACCCGTTTTTTTTGAGGGGTAGGGGGCGAGGGGCAGAGAGAATCCCAGGCAGGTTCAGCACTATCAGCACAGAGCTCGGTGCAGGGCTCGAACTCACGAACCACTGTGAGATCATGACCTGAGCCGAAATCAAGAGTTGGATGCCCAACCAAATAAGCCACCCAGGCGCCCCAATACCCACCCAGTACAGAGCCCAACATGGGGCTCGAACTCATGACCCGGAGATCAAGACCTGAGCAGAGATCAAGAGTTGGATGTTTAACCGACTGAGCCACCCAGGCGCCCCATCCAAATACCCACTTTTTTTTTATTTTTTTAAATTTTTTTTTTTTTCAACGTTTATTTATTTTTGGGACAGAGAGAGACAGAGCATGAACGGGGGAGGGGCAGAGAGAGAGGGAGACACAGAATCGGAAACAGGCTCCAGGCTCTGAGCCATCAGCCCAGAGCCTGACGCGGGGCTCGAACTCACAGACCGCGAGATCGTGACCTGGCTGAAGTCGGACGCTTAACCGACTGCGCCACCCAGGCGCCCCTCAAATACCCACTTTTAACGCGCCCAAACAGTCTCCCTTGTTGGAAAATCTGGATATCCTCTCCCTCATTATCTAACAAAGATCTTAATCACTCGTCCAAACCATTTTTTTGAGCACCTCCTGCGTCTCGGGCCTTGGGCGGAGAGCCAGGGGGGCCGCTACCCTGAAGAACCACACAGATGCGGTCCTCGCCCTCAGGGAGCCCGGTCCCTGGCGAAGGCACAGTACACACGCAGCCACAGTGTCCTCAGAAGACGTTCTGCGGCAGCGCAAGCACACGGCCGGCAGAGCAGGGGACCTGGACTGCCGCGGACGGGCTGGGGAAGGGGTTTCGGAGGCGCAGCCAATGGGACCGAGGCCTAAGGAAAGGCGTTTGAGGCAGCCCCGGGGCGCGCACCAAGCCCTGAGGCGAGAGAACACGGGCGAGTGGAGGGCGCGGCCGGGCAGCACAGCGTCCAAAAGGGGCAACCGTGAGCACCGAGGCAGCTGAGGCTGGCAGGGCCAGACCGCCGAGAATCTAGTAAGCCATGACGAAGAGAATGAGCCTGATCTTCACGACACCGAGGCAGACACTCGGAGGGTTCTGAGCACTGAAGGGGCAGGGCCGACATCTTCAGAGATTGCTCCGGCCCCAGTGTACGGAACAGGTTCCGAGGGGTAAGAGTGGAGGGGGGAGAGCAGGCAGGAGGCCTGGGCGGCGGTCTAGGAGATGGGGCCATGGGCACACGTGCAGCAGACACCTGGGCACGCGGGTCTGGAGCCCAGGGTCCAGGCAGAGCGTCCGTCGGGAGCGGTCAGCCTGCGGACGGTAACTGAAGCAAGGCCAGGTGACCTCACCTCGGGGAAAGGTGTTCACCGAAGTCTAGAAACTACCCTGCGGGGAAGAAACCTAGGACACAGAACTAGCAAGAGGCTGAGAACCATGGACCAGACTCAAAGGAACAGAGTGTTTTGAGCAGTGAATGGCCCTCAGTGATCCAGAAAGATAAGGAAAGACAAGTATCTGTGGATTCGTCAACAAAAAGAACGGTTTCTGTCAAAAGGGGTCATTGGCTTCCTTGGCAAGAGCGGCGTGTGGAGGGGGGAAATGATCCCCATGTTCTGGGGCGCAGGTGGGAGGCCAGGCATGCGGCCATCTGGGGCTGGAGCCCCGCAGGGGAGGAGAGAGATAAGGAGGCGGCCGCAGGGATGTCATGGGAGCGCGTTCTGTTTTTTCCCCAAAGATGAGAAAGATCGATCTGAGTCAGCAGAACGCCAACGGCAGACAGCAGAAACAGGGAGTTGTAGACATAGGAGAAATAAAGGAAAACAGAGTGGGATCTGGAGCACAGAGAGTTGCCTTGGAAAACCAGAAGGGTATCTTTTCCAGTGAGACGTAGAGGAGGGTGAGGGAAGGGAGGGAGGGCTATGGGTCAAACTGAGGAGGGAGGTCTGGCAGCAGGAAGCAGAACGGGCCCGGGTGCAGGCTTCACCATCCCCCCTGTAGCCCGCTGGCCCACAGGGGTGAGGCGTGCGGGTGGGCTCGGGCACCGAACTGTCTGTGCGCAATTCCTAACGCCATTGATGCCAGCGCGGGTGGCCTTAGCGGGTTACCTGACTTCCCGCTGCCTCAGTTTCACTATTTACAGAATGACAAAAACCCGGCATCCACCCCACAGGGTTGGAAGGAGGCGTCTGGTGCCAGTGACTTTTCAAAACATGACCACCCTCCACTGTCTCTTCCCGTCACAGCCACAAGGACCCTGGACTATGACGACAGTGACCCAGAGGGCTTGTGTTTCTTCGCTCTTTCTGATTTACTTCAACTGAAAACAAGCTGACTTTCTAGTCTTCCCAGTTTGGGAACTAATAAGGCCACACTAATTCCAAGCCTTCCAGAAACTGATCTGAAAAATATGCACACAGCTGCTCACGTTTCCATGCCCATATATGAGTACGGGCATACAAAGCCTTGTTGGGTGGGCCCACAGTGCCGGGCCCGTCCACCTCCGTGCCAGGCACAGGCTGCCCCTGCCCACGGGAACAGCTGCCTATTCTGCCCTCTGAATGGTTTCCCACCCTTCAAGGTCCACCTCAAACACCTTCTCTGGAGAGGAGCCTTTCCTCATGGCTTCAGTGTCCCCTGGAAATTTCCTCATCAGAAGCCCCCGTGTTCCCACTCTCTCTGGTGGCGCCCGCCTAGCTCAAGTGCACTCTCATGGAGGGGAGCGACTTTGCATTCCTGATCCCCGCATGAGGGGCCGTCTAAGGTGCTCAACCCCAGAAGCAAACGAATGGTCGTCATGAGGAAAAATGTTCTGCACGTAAGCAACCGGGATCTCGTTCTAGTGACATCTGCTTGGCAGGTTGGCACTCTTGGTCATCCACGGAGGGTACTGAGGTATTTCCCCAGTGCACAGCATGAGCACTGAACGGAGTCCATCATCAAAGAAAGGTAAGGATGCCAGAGCTCCTGCACTTTCCCCCAGGAAACCTAGGTGGTGACTTCGGTAGAGGGTCTGGTTCTGGCAGACCACAGGATGTTCCAGGAGGACATCTGCTACTTGGACTACAGATGACCTCTTAAGATAGGAGCTCAGGGATGTTCCTATCGATGGGTCCTTTCTCAGAACGATTCCACATCTTTGAAGTGGGGAATAAATGAGATAGTTTAAACCTAAGCAATGTGGGGTCATACTATTTACCCCTCTCTAACAACACGAACGGATGATTTTATGCTGATGTCCCTGTGAGCACTCGGAACAAAATTCTCTCGCCAGGCTGCTCTAAACAGACATAATGGATTATTAACATATTCCCCTGGAAAAGCCAGCGCATGATGGAAAGGCACAGCTGCTCCCACGCTGTAACACACCCTCGCACTCAGACACCTGCTGCACCCACAGCTTGCTGAGGAGCGTTTCTGATCGCAGACGCCGCGGTCCTCTGAAAGGGCTTGCTGATGGCCACAGGGGACATTAGAAAAAGGAGGAGCCCAAGTGGGACTGTATCAGGATCCACAGTTTTCAAAGACGGAACCAGTCCGTGAAACCCAGCAGCTGGACCAGAACACAGCCAAGATCTACTTTTCCTTTGTTAAACAGGGGTGCTCACATGGTCAGTGTGAGCACCACCAGCACTGCTGGAGGGTGAACACTTAAAGTTCTGCTTCCCCTTGCTGAGTCAGGGTGACCGGGGGGAACACGTGTGGGCACGAACAGGTGGGTTGCAGAGCTGAGGCCTTGTGCTTCCAGGTGTTTAAGGCATGGACCACAAAGAGAACAGGCAACCCCTGGCAGTGTAGCCAAGTTTTTTAGATTTAAAGGAGACAAAAAACATTTAATTGACAGGCCGAGATGGGGAGAGTGAATAAATTCACGTTTATCCTCCAGGCTGATAGGATAAACTTCCAAGAGCCGCCTTTCAAGCTAGAGTTCCTCTCTAACGCAAGTGCAAAGCATCAAAGTAAAATAATTACCTTCTCTGGCCAGATGCCCAGGTGGAAATAGAGCCTGGCTTGCAGGAGGAGAAGCTGCACCTGGTCCGGGTACATCGCCAGGTACAGATCCAGGGAGTCTCGCAGGAGTTGGTAAGACTGGTCGATGCCTTCCCTGGTGGGGGAAATCAATCACGGCCTCACTTTCTGCTTGCTTCTCAGCTGAGACCCTCTTTTTCAAGACCCAGGTTTTATGAGTAATGGACACAAAGGCCACCCACCTTTTCGGATTCCGGTACCTCCTCTCTGTTCGGCAAATAATTACAATGATCTTAGTAACAATATTAAAAAAGCCCCAGAAGAAACGTTAACTTTTGTACCCCACTTTGGTGATGGGCATGAAAACTGTAAGCACTTTCACTGTATAGTCACCTCAATAACACTGCACATAATCAAAAATAACTTCTGCCTAGGTGGAGCACAGAGGACTTTTAGGGCAGTAAAACTGTTATGCACAATACCACGACGGTTGGTTCGTCATGGTGTGTTCATCCAAACCCACAGAACGTACGCCACCAAGAGGGAAGCCGGGTGTTAACTGCAGAGTCTGAGGATGACGTGTCTGTGGGGGTTCGTCAGCTGTAACTAGTGTCCCACTCTGATGGGGGATGTTGGGGAGGTGCGGGGGGGGGGGGTACTAGGAGAACTCTCTGTACTTTCCACTCCATTTTGTTGTGAACCTAAAATTGCTCTAAAAAATACAGCCTATTTTAAAAGAACAAAGAATTCCACCGTTAGGCAGGGAACTACGACTACAACATACAATCTTCTATTTTGCCTGTAAGACATATTCCCTTGGACTCAGAGGCAGAATGGTTTCATACTTTTGTTTGCTTTCTTATCTAAGTGATAGAAATGTATAAACCAAAGGACGACGACAAGGACTTGGACCGAAGAACATACTGCCCTGAAAAGTAACCTTTACCAGTCTCAAATATTCTGGTTACTAAAGAAAATATTGAAAATATTACAGAAAACTTGCACACAAGTCCATTGCAAAAGTGTCAAAGTCACTCAGTACATCTCAAGCCAGGACAGCATTATGTCACAAGGATGCGTTTCTCTCTGTGGTGGGTAGACAGCCGCAGACAGCCCAACTGTGCCTCCCGGCATCCACAGCTTTGCCGCGTGACGGGAGGCCCATCAAATAAAATCCTCTGTAATGCAATCCGAGCCTCCAAAGACATGCACTCTGCAGAAGTGCTGGAAAACCACGAAAACCTTACCGCTTTCCCAGGCTTAAAAGGTTTCCCACCATTCGCTGTAACACCTTCTTCACGTTGACCACCCCGTACAGTGCTGCCGTCACGTGCTGGCCGATCAGGTATTCACACTCTTTCACTGTCAGCTGCTTCCCTTTCCCAAAAGCGTCTATGTAGATGTAGTCAAAGATGTCCAGGGTTGCCCTATCCAGACAGCACAGGCAGTTAGCCAAATCTCAAGTCAGAGCTGAACAAGGCAATGTCTAACATCCCCTCCCCCCTCCCCACAAGTAGCTCAAATTAGAGACTGAATATTATTAACACAGCAGCATTTTCACTTGAAATAGTAAGGCCTTGTCTAAAGTTCAAAATCTGACCCTTTAGACATTCCCTGCTGTGTTGAGACTTCAGGACACAAATGTTTAGGAAACGGCACCAATGCGTGCCATCAAATACAGTTTTGCGAGGAGATTAAGCCAGATCAAACCAAGTTTAAAAGAGAACAGAAGAGAATTTATTGACCTTAGTCTACAAAACGCTCTATCAGAAGTTGGGTGGGAAGGCCCGAGGCACTTTATGATTCTGCAGATTAGCACAGTTAACGTCTGTGGGCCCTAGGCCCCTGGGGCTGTGAGGAAAGTTACAGAACCCAGCCCTGCCAAGAGTCCTGCCCCCGACCCTGCAGACACACTCCGGTGGGCACTCAGGGCTCAGCCTGGGAACCTGGCTCCAGACCAGAGAGCTGAGCCCCCGCACTTGACCCTGCCACCCCTCCCATGAACCGTGCTCTCAAAATGGGTGGTGGCCTGAGCTGAGCTGAGCTGAGCGGCGGGAGGAGGTCACATGAAGCAAGTCCTCATCACCATTACCAAGAACATTCTCTGAGGACTCCTGAGGGTCTTTGTTTCAGG